GCTTCGAAGCGATTGACAAAACTTTCGTGTCACTATGACTTAATCAAAGGCGAAGTTAATCGATACTCCGTACTCTGTACATCGATGAATGGCGGAGATTCTAACATCTTCGATTATTGCGGCGAAACCATAATTACAGTTGCATGTGTTGAAAATATTTTCCAAATAGTTTTTGTTACGAGAAAATGGCCGGCGATTTGACGCAACGAAAATCTATAACGCATTAGAGGTAATGCGCTGTAATAACGCTTGGCCCACTGTTCTACCCTGACACAAAAATGACAGGATTTTGTTGAAATCTCAGTGAGTATATTGTTTTTTAATTCAAGGTATGTCTTACTATGTTATTGCAAAAGAAAGGAAGTATAGATTTTCAATAGCTACTTCAAAATGTAATAGAATGTTTATTACTACCTATTTATGATGAATTCTCCTTTGCGAAACCCTTAGGCAAGTACGCTCATTAAATAGGAATTAGATATGACAAGTTGTGAGAAATATGATTCTAGGTCAAAACAAAAGAGATCAATTTTTTCATTTATGTCGAAATCTTATGAAGGATAAAACAATTGTTTTTTGAACTCACTGCATTTCCTGCTGTATAATTATCGATCTGAATATTTATAATTGAATATGATTCGTAATTATTATTATTATAGTCGTCTGCAGTTTTGCATACAACTTTAAATGACCATTAGGTAGAGCAAATATTTAAATATTTTTAATAATAGGCACCTAATTATCTGTTTATACAGTTTACCTACGATATTAGAGGTGCCCGTAAACTAGGTTAGGGTAAACCTGTCATAGTTAAAGTAATTATCTTCCGTACCATTTAAAATACTAGAGACTGCCTCGTTGGCCAAGTGGTCGAAAGTGCGACTGCCGCGGGCAATGGGTCTCGGGTTCTGTTTTTTTTTAATTTTCATTAGTAGCTCGGAGTTTGGAATTGTCCCCGGTATATGGCAATAGACTCACACTCTATTACATGGGACTCATAACATAAATAGTGAATAGTGTTACCTTGTACAGACTACAGTGGCATTAAGTGCCGGAATGCCGCACCTCTGCGGGGATAAAAGTCGTGATGTTAAAAATATTATGGTAACGATAACATGTTGTTTCGTAAAAATGATAATACTTATTTAAATTACATTTACCTACTTTTACAAAACCCAACCCACAAATAACATTATTAATATTATACTATCACCAAAAACCATCAATAAATTATTTAGTATGCACGTTATTGAACAAATTATAATAATTATTCATTAATTATAATTATTATTCATGTCGATAATTTTGGTAAACAATGGCGTATGTTATTGTAGCGATTATAATTATTTATGTATGTGTGTCATTTTGTTTTGATTCAGGGCTTAATTCTTAAGCAGGTCGTCAGATTTTTATCGCTACACATGTGAGGGAATTTAACACAGTATGTAATAAGAATTAAGTACATGATACATATATTTGTCACGCTTTCTGGTTAAAACTTTCATAGTAAATCATGGTACCAAAACCTTCTGAAGGTCGTATTATTTTATGGCGTAAGCCGCTAAACGAGCAAACGGATCACCTGATGGTAAGCAATCGTCATTGCCCATGGATACCTGAAACACCAAGTCGTAAAAGTGCGTTATCGGCCTTTTGGGAATTGGGGTTTCGAGGATTGTGGAGGATTCGGGGATTGGAGAGACTTGGGATGGGAGGTGGTAATTGTGCCTCAGGTAACCTTACTCACAACACGACGAAACACAACGCAAGCATTGTTTCACGTCGGTTTTTTGTGAGGCCGTGGTATCATTGCGGTCGAGCCGTCCCATTCGTGCCGAAGCTTGGCTCTCTCACTACGAAGTTTTCTCTCTGTGTCATCATAGAAATAAAGCGATAAGGACAAAAATAACACTAATATTGAGCATAAAATAAACAGTAGTATTTCGACCGCAAACTAATAGCTTTCTATCATCTTGTGATCTGGATTTTTTGTGATATCACAAATGAAGAACATCTAGCCAGACACGAAGAGGTATTTAATACGGGCATCTACATATTTTATGAACAAAAATGCATTTTAGTGCAACATTGTCCGGCATAAACTTTATCAGATATCCATGATTCACCTACGATAATACCGTTACTAATATGCATGGACAGAGTGCAACATACTTCCTCAATTTAATATGCATTATATTTCACGCCACTGGCACATTGCGCAAGTGATATGGTAATTCCTTGTCAATAAACATATGTTTATATAGTGGTCATTAACAACACGTAGTGAGCGTGGATGTAAACAATAAATTGTACATTTAACTTGTAGGAAATCTCTTGTTAATAACTTTTTTAAGCGCACGTACATTGCGAGGGAAATTGTTCTATTTTTATTTTTTTTTTGTCTGTGGGAGTATATTATTGTCTATGGTCATATAGGAAATAGTTTTTATTCAGCAGAGAAATTCCGAACACCTTGGATTAGATTTAAAATATACACTTAAAGGATGACTTTGATACGATAATGATTAAATCATTAGTTCTTATTACGACATAAATAAGGACAAAATAGACCTATTTAATAATTTATTTATTTAACTTACCTATTTAAATGTCAAGGTAAGATTCAAATATCATCGTGATATGAGGGTTAAAGGGAAGGCCTATTTTCAGTAATCGAGGTTTTCACGCTGATGGTAATGATGTTAATTTCACATTCGTTTAGTCATAGGAATAGTTCTTAACTAATCCTACACGGTTGGTTTTATTCTTGCAGTGTACATAATTATTATTATTATCAGATTTTTTTGTAAATTGTAATGAAAACTAGGCTAATGTGTGTTAATTGTTTGAGTAATCATATGTATTTCAACCTTTTCATAACATTCTCAGTTGAGACGACCATATTAAGAGTCAGTCATTCGCTTCAAACAAAGTAATTTGTATTAAAAAAGGAGGATTGTACATGAGATCAATATAAATACACTTGTACTACCGCATTGAATTGGTTGTAAAAGCATTTAGGTATTGTTTATTCTTATATTGGAAATAGCCTGCAGGTGCAAGTTATTTAGCCATCAGACCACCACGGATGGAGCCCAACAGGGCTAATGCCGATACGGAGCTGCGGAAGACTTAATGGCTTGCCGGGGCTCCGGCTCGAAGTGCAGGAGTAGGAACGGGGTGGTTTTTAGTCAGTAAGAGTCTGACACTCCATTCCGCCATACCCGGGCGGGAGAAGTCATTGGATGATTTTCCCCCCTCAAAAAAAGGTGCAAGTTATTTATTCAAATTGATTATCATATAAGTATATTATGAGTTCCCATAACGCGCGCCATTTTATCCCACGCATGATTCAACTACGATACTGTTGTTAATATTCAAGGAAAAAATATTTTGAAGAATTAATTTATGTAAATAGGTTACCATTCATTTAATTTCTTCCCATTTTATTTTTGCCTAAACATACTTAATTAGCTAGTTCTAGAAACATTAAATACAATGATATTAAAATGTGCGTATTTTATTTTTATAGACCTTGTGTTTATTTTTAGGTACTTTTCCATCTTGTTCTGACCTCGTAAATGGGCATGAGGTGTCCGCTTTATCAAGACTTGCTTTGCTTTAATATATTTAAGAGCTAACAGCTAAAGCAGACTACTCAATTGAGATCATTTCAATACAACATCTCTTATTTCCAATGACGAAATGATGATATAAGTCAATGGGATTATTTAAGATTCCATAGAGAGCCTGACCAAGGGCGTAATTAAATAATTCCGTACCCATTTAAATGCGGATTCATTTACCTTGAGACAACAGTCCAGAGCCTTTATGTCAACCACATTGTCCGTATTAAGAAACATTTATAGGCCTGTATACATATATGTATGACATTTTCGTAAGTTTATGATTACGTACAAGATTAATCAGTTTCTTGTAATTTGCCGGTTTGTGGCGCAAGTCTCAATCGTACGATGCTCTCTGTTTTTGGTAAAGTTGCTACATTGGTTCACAATTTTATATTCATCTGTTTTGTAACTTTTAAATAGGTGCAACGGAGAAACGAATTGTAGTTCATGAACACATATACCTTTTGTACAAAATTAATTCGACATTGTTTTAGTGCTAACAAGGTTAAAGAGTAGACTAATTGTTAAGCAATTTTTATTTAGTTTAAGTCCTACTAATTCAAAAACTTAATTGCATTTTTATCGAATTTTGTTACATACCTGTAGCAGAGTATTAATCACCATACGTGTGACATAAACGGATTTTTATGTTACACTTTTATTACAGTAAAGTTCTATTCCCTGAATAAATAGGATACACATCTCTTAAGACTTTCACTGCCAATAAAAAACTTTTGAAGGTAAATCCACCGCTAACGTCGGTCACCGGTGACCGCCATGGCGGTTAACGTGTTAAGATTCATATTCCAATAGCTAAACGATGTTCTAATATTTATATCTACTTCCTAAAACCAAATCGAGATATAATCGTTTCCGATGCCTTCCTCAATAATAATGCAAGTGACTAACAATGAATTGAATTGAACGGCGTGATTCACTCGCGACTATAAAGTCATTGCCACTGGCCCCTATAATTATGTTTGTGTAACTTAATCGATTACGATCAGCTGGTACTGTTTACGTTTAGACGAAAACTGATTACACGTGACCGTTACTTGTCAACTGTCCACAATAGCTTTGTGTTTATGATGCTGGTTGGTAACCAAGAAAACATGTATTTTTTTTATTTCTTACAGAAGTAGACAAAGATGCACATTTTTGTCTAACATAATAAAATATGAAAATGAATGTTTTACAAAAAAGAACCGAACAAAAAGGAAATATTCGAAATTCATTTCTCGCGGTCACAAGTTTGACCCAGTTTATTTCATTTGTCAAATGGATTGCATTGTTGTTACTCCGAATTGTTCTTAAACATTATAAGTGACAGGACACAAAATTAAGTAGCAGAACAAAGGTCAAAGTACTTACTCTCTGGTGTAACATCTCGAAGTACGATCCTGGCCTCTGTTTCAGCCGGCATGGTTACCACAACTTGAAAGCTTAGCGATCGATTTGTACGTTGACCCTTGAGTTACACACGGGGGTCCTTGACACGTTTGTAGTGGCAGTTATATCGCGTGACTAGAACTTAGTTCCGAAGGGTTTTATGTCATGTTTTTATTTAGGAGCGTCTGTGTACGGTGGCGGATGCGAGCGTCGTCGCACAAAGCTCGGCGAGGACTGACCGAAGATTGCGGCGCGCGCCTATTTTCTCCGCGGTCCTATATCATCGCGGGTACTACATGCTCTCGTTGACTTTGTGTTGTTGTTGTGTTAAGTCATACTCAGTGGCCGATGCATTAAGATCAGTCGGCCTATTCAGATTTGCGACACGAAGGGAAGTGTTCTCCATACACTATCTGAAGTAATTCTCGTCAATTTCAAACGATAGTCGTTATCTGTTTCACAAGTTGCACCAATGTCCAGTAGTTTCATGATGATGTTCGTAAGAATGGATTTAGAAAAGTAGATAGAAGAATAAAGTCAATCCTAGGTTTTTTAATTTTACAGTTCAGTTACCTATGAAAGTTTAAATTGGATATTGGGTATTACAGTACAACATAAAATATTCTTCCTTAAATAGGTGTAGATGTGTTAACTAAAAGCAGGGTTTACAGGTAATTTAACAGGAGGATTTTGATATTACCGGTTTTGTCTGGTGGGATCTTGTTTAATACAATGCTTAGGCTAAGTTCCCAGAAATATAATGATAATACTTATTAGCCAAATTATTCTACATGGGTACTATTAAGCGTATGAATAAAATTTTTGTTTTTTTGAAAAACATTTCAATTTTCATATTGCCATCCGGTTTACACGTAGATTGAGATAAGAAAAAAAAATTGTAATATTAAAATAAAATAAATAAATGCGAGAATTCAGCCTTGTTTACATTTTTAAATATTACTGATGGTAATTATACAAATGTATACATAAACTCACGCCTTCTTCTATGGGGTAGGCAGAGACTATGGAACGCCAATTGCTACGATTCCTACATACCTCTTTCGCTTCATCAACAGTCATCTTGATGAAATCTTTTCATGCATGATCGTTGGTTAAAGGTACTTTTAATTTGGCTCTTCTTTGATATATCGCCAATCTGGTCGATACAATATGTCCTTACGTCTGTTTGTAATACTTCCCTACTTGATGTAATATTTTATTATTTTAAGAATTAAATTTTGTTTTATTAAATAAAGTATGAATAAATATATCCAAATTAAAACACAAATAACTAAAAGCTAAAATAATTACACCTTAAAAAAATTATTAAATAATTTAACTTTTTCGTTTCTTTTGTCAGTTTCATTAGCAAGGTTGTGGACAACCCGGTACGAGTAAGTAGTTAGTTTCGTCAAGATATAAAGAAAGAAACAACGTTTAATGATGATGATACAATTGGGTACCTTTCTTAATCAAAAGTAAATTATTTCGACTGTTCAATACAATAAATTATTAAAGAACTAGCGACCCGCCCCGGCTTCGCACGGGTGCAATATGCATGATATAAACCTTCCTTAAGAATCACTCTATCTATTAAAAAAAACCGCATCAAAATCCGTTGCGTAGTTTTAAAGATCTAAGCATACATACGGACATACAGCGAAAGCGACTTTGTTTTATACTATGTATTGATATTGATAATCACACATTCAATAATGATTCTATGACCAATTCAATTTTAGTATGTTTCCATATCTGTGTTTCCAGCCACAGAAATATTAAAAATCCAGCATTTTTTTAAGAAATAATTATGGTGTTTGACCCTAAAAACCCGTGACGTATACGTATACACAATGGCGGACAAAAATCTTAGCGTTTTTGACAGTTCGAAAAAAGTATTGAATTTGACTATGTCAAGTACCCAATTCTTGAAATTATTATATCTATACTTAATGGATATTGAAATACTGGCCAGAAATTGTAGAGTCAACCAGAAGTTCCAGAAAAATGCCATTAAAAATGTTCGCTGACCATTGTTCATTTAAAATACCTACCGAAAAAAGAAATTACTTTGACATTTCCTTTATGAAACTTTCTTTTAGCAATGTTTTTAGTTAAAGTTGTCAAGTGTGAATATAATTAGTATTGCAATGCCAGGTAAAGTTGAAGGTGTCAATTATTGTGCAGTCCGTGTAAGGCTAACATTGTTACTAATTAAGTAATTAAACCATTTCCGGCATCTTGTTAATTAGTATAGACAAGATGACGCCTTATTGACGTGTATAATTATATGGAGGCAATGAAATTACTCTGTTTCTTTAGTAATCTAGTAATTATATAGTTTTATATTGCCTATTCCAATGAAAATTGAGGGAGGATAAAAAGTTTAAATTAAAATCGAACACTGCACTGTAAAAACATGCGTCTATAAAAATGCAACTTGCTTCAAGGTGTTTATTGTATAATTCATTGTACTTAGTAATTCATTATTATTAATTAATGTCAACAATTATTTTATATCCTGGAATGGAGAAAAATAGGATTTTATGACAAAAAATTGAAGATGATTTGTGAGTGTTTGTGTGTACACACGGCTACACATCGAGCTTTACATAACCAGTATAAACTGAACGTTAAACGTGCGGAAAGATGATACGACGCGATACCAGGATATACTGGTTTTGTATAGATTGATGTGTGGCCGTGTGTACCTATGTTTGTTAATGTTATCAAGTCAAATACTCAAAAACGTCAAAAGGGCTGAGGGGATCGGGATGGAACAGGGATAAATATACCACATTAGGTACTTTTTATCCCAGTGGAACGGTTGTGAACATCATAAAATATGCATATTTCATTTACTTCGCAAGTCTAAGGAATATAGCTATCAGACCACCACAGATAGGGCCCAACAGGGCTGATGCCGATACGGAGCCGGAAAAGACTTAACGGGTTGCCGGGGCTCCGGCTCGAAGTGCACGAGTAGGAACGGGGTGGTTTTTAGTCAGTGTCTGACACTCCCTCTCGCCTCACGCGGGCGGGCGAAGTCATTTGATGATTATCCCCCTCAAAAAAAAAGTCTAAGGAATATATTTTGAAATCGGTTGTTATACTAGGCAATATGCGTCTGTTCAACTTACATAAATAGTTTTATTTCAAGCAACATGAATGACCGAAGTAAGCAAAGACGTAATGGTTATGTAAGTACTGTGTACTAGACATGCAATTTTTGTTTTGAAGCTGCCTGAACTTGACCTCGGCCTTGATGTGAAAAGTGTAGTCAAGTGCGAATTGTGTTTGTTTTACTTCTGTGTAGAGATGTATTAGTTGCAGAATTGCTTCTTATTTATTATGTTTTGTCTTGACAAACTACTAGAACATAAACCGTAAATTAACAAGTTAATTGACTACCTTTAATTTTAATTAGTAAACTTGTAAATTAACAAGTTTATTTACGGTTTTGTGTCACATTTTTGATTACAAATATGAGTTACATATTTATTGGTATAAATAATGTATATTTTTATAAGAACTATAGTGAGACATATTGAATTAACTAAAAATGAACATGAGACATGAAACAGAGTTGGAGATGGACAGAAGGAGAGACTCTGTAACTCGAAACTAATACCACACGAATACCAGTGACGACGCGATCAGCAAATTAATTAGACGGGCGGTGGGTGAGAGTGAGCGGGGGATCCTGGACTATAACTTGAAAATGGCTATCAGGAATAGGGACATGGCGGTAGTGGGCGCTCTTTTAGGTGGGGAGGGCTCGCTGTAGGCTTGAATTGTGATGCAGGCGTGACATTGATATATATATATATATATATGTGTATTGTGTGTGTTTAATAATGTTAAAATGTAGTAAATATAATGTAACGTAATGTAAATTTTATCAATAAGACTGACAAAATCCATTGGCACTACTGGAATCGGCTTACTGCTGCGTGAGCAGACGTCATGCATTCTTAAATGTTCTACAGTCGGTGGCGCTGTGGGCTGGGTCGCTCCGTTCCCTACGAAATGGTTGATCGGACCGATTGCTGGCCCTCACGTCATGCTCGTGAACGGGCGCCTTCTGCTGGAGCAGGTCGGCTCGCTCATCGCGCGTGTGGGCCGATCCAGTAAGGTTAATGTAAATGTAGTAAAACATGTATTGTGTATATATAGGTAGATATTAGACACAACTTCTTTGAGAAAAAAAAAAAATGTGGTGTAGCACGTAAGATTTCTGTAACAATTAATTTAGACTGTAAATAAAAAAAAAAATGTAATGAAATGACAAGGGCACGGACAAGAGTCCGTGGAGAATAAGAAATGTAATTAATTAAAAAAAAAAAAAAAAACTCGAAACTAATAGAGCTTTTCTTAGTATAATCACGTGAGTGAGAGTGAGCTGCGCGGCGTCGCCGCGACCGCGCACGCTGTCCTGAGGGAACCCCTCTGTGGTTCGAAACTAGTAGAGCTTTTCTCAGTATATTCACGTGAATAACCCGCAATTTTAGTTTATTTAACTAAATGTAGTAACTGAACTGAATCTAAAAATAAACAATATTACCCATTTAAATATTATTTGTTTCTAGAGACTCGCACCAGCTTTGTTCCGTTATTAGTATTTCTCTATTATATTATGCACACAAACCTGCCTCTTGATTACTAAACTTGATATTGTATTCATTTAAAAAAAAAAACCGCTTCTAAATCTGTTACGCAGTTTTAAAGATCTAAGCATACATAGGATCAGACAGAAAATGCCGAATGTGACTTCGTTTTATATTTATTTACTGATCACTAAACATGAACTCCGTAGGTAGTTCAGTAGACAAAGTTGGTACAATGAATAATTAAAGCAATTACTTTCATATTGTCTGTTCATTCGAAGACCTTTCTCTGACTTCCCACACGATGACATTTCCTTAATATTCTCAGAAATCTGTTGTTTTATTATGTTCCTTTTACCTCGTAATATTAGCCCTTGGAATATTTATTCAACAGTTGTTTTCTTTGTTATTGTTATAAGTATACCGCCTACTACCTTTTTCAGACCTGTCTGTACTGAATAGGTAAATGGTATCAAGTACCAAATTTATTTATTTATTTAAGCCGTGTAGTTACTGGCTTACAGTGAGTACCAAAACGCCAGTAAGCTAGGTAATTAAAATATAAAGCACAACATATAATATAAGAACAAATCAATCATGAAAATACGAAAAAAAAATGTCATATAAACATAATGTCCAATAAATAAATGTCAA